ATATACATTGGAACGGCAACGGAGCCCACGAGCAGGTCAGCGATCGCTAAGTTGATCAGTAGCAGGCTTGTGCGCATGCGTCGAAGTCTTGAATTGTTAAGGAATACCGCTATAGAGAGGAAGTTCCCCACAATGGTAAAAAGAGCAAGACTGCTGAACAAAACCGTCCAGCTTACTCGCTCGGGGGCAGTCGAGGTGCTCATGTTTACCTCACTCTAAAAACAGCTGGTGATCAATTACAATCTGAAAATTAAAACAAAGATGACAAAGAGAGATTGATTAATACAGTTTCTATTTAACATTTTGGCTTATTATCTACACCCCCTACACCGATATCCCCTTGTCGGCCCGTCATGCAACGAGAAAACAAATCAACATACAAAGCAAAAAACTCTCTGCCCATCCCCCTCGAATATAGGCAATCCCAATTCCCCACCCCCTCCCCATGATTTTTCTTATGAATCGGAATGGGACAAAATAAACAAGTTTAAAGATTGAAATGTTCTGATGCAGTTGTAGAATTAAAATTGCAATCATGAAAATAAAAATGATAATATTTATGACATTAATGATAACAGCAACGGAAATAATGAAAGTAACAGAAGAACTTTCTTGATGGATTTTAGTATATCTCGTTCATATAGGATAAGATTTCCAGCACGGGCAAATATCGATGTCACTTAAATGGCAGTGACGATGAATCCACATAACCGAGGATATGGCAAGTTTTTAGGAAGAACTTCACGGAGACCTACACAGCTAAAAAATAAATGATGTTGAAGGAAAGCTAGAGGCGGTCTTTCTTGACTTGATCAGATAATCGATTAGTTTCCGGGTCTACACGGAGGAAAAAAATTTTTGAAATCGAATCAAAGGCGATACTGAAAGCATTCAATTTCTTAAATCCATCACGAAGAGTTACAAAAAAATTCAGCCAGGCCTCTTCTAAATAAAAAAGTTGTGTTAGTGAACGAATCGGGAAAGGCTTGTTATATGGATTCTTACCTGCGACTGGGAAGTTTAAAAGTTTTAGTGAAAGCGTACTTCCAGCCGACAGCAACGACTTGAAAAAGCGCATGTTTTGCAGATTTTTGTTGTCTATTAGAGGGACTGAAATCTTCTGGTAAGAAGATAGACTCGCCAGGCTAAAACAGCAGTCTATTACCGTCTTTAAAATCAGTGTCGAAATTGTCAGTGTCGTTCGAATGTGTGCGTCACGTCATGTTGCGTGCGCGTAGCATTAGATATCATGATAGATTTACGGTAAACAGACAAAGATTGATACGGTTATCAGGTTATCAGTTGTAGACTGGAAGCAATTCTAAATTAGAGTTTCAATTTAAGATCATTTGTTTGAAATTAGATAAAACATGTAAACATACAGCGCAAGCAGGCTTTGATGTCACCTTACGCACACAAAAGCCGCGAGGAAGTTTAATTAAACTGAATATAAACCCTTGGAATTGATCTGAAATAGTCCATTTAGTTATTTGAAACGATCATTGTGTCAAATGTTGGTTATTGATGAACTGAAAGCTTAAGTGCGCCCCATTAGCTCAGTAAAGGCATAAATTTTGCACTAAAAAGGAAGAAGGAAAAAACTGGAGGTGCCCAAAATAGCTTACCTATAGCTATTTTAAGGCACTCTGAAAAGGAACTTATTCTCTTTTTGCGTGCGGTTCATCAAACCACAAATACTTTACTGCTGTCGTTGAGTGCTAATTGTTCAAATTGAAAATGTAAACGCTAGTTACTGATGACCAATGCACTTGATAGCCATGTCAGAGAATTTGGTATTATATCAAGATTACAACTCTTAGTTGATAGTTTTCAAAATTCTCACTACTTTTCTGTCAACAGTGTATTTAACGTGTAAGGAGAATTCATTTGCTAATAGCCCAAAGATTTAAACTTTTCTCTTTCAGAAGTCTCAGAGCCTCAAGGTCAACGGAGATTATATCGCGATAGCAATATAGCTGGTGGTAAACACATCGTTTGTTCGGTGCTGGCTCCATTTATCTTCACCGTATCGATGTCAATTGAATAAAACTGCCAACAACGAACGAACTTTTCTCTACGTTTTTTTTTTCTCTTTATCGATATTTATCGTTGTACGGGATATCGGAGATATATCTGTGGGCAAACTGCTTACGTACGAATCTCACTTTATCATTCATCATGTCGCAGGCAACTTTTTCAGGGGCCAGTTTCGGTTGTTGTTTATCCCAGACCAGTTGTAACTGAATCGAAGAGGTGAATTAATTGACTCAAACTATACCAAAAATTACTAAGATACAAAATCAAGACCCTTGTCTTCAAGTTTTACCGGAATTTAGAAAAAGGACTTCTTTCTTACCGTTTATAAAGGAAATTTCCCTTTTTCCACCTGTGTGAAACTTCTTCCTTCTCAGAGATTTGATAGTGTGTTTTTGAATCAGCCCTAGTTTATTTTTATCGCCCCGAGATTCTATCGGACGTTGGCAATTGTCTTTTGAAATATCATCAATTGAAAGGTTTGACAGATAAGTTTTAGCTTCCGTAAGCTGGAGGTTTTCGACCAAACAAGAGAAATGAAAATTGGAATTCCCTTCGAATTCCGTTAACTGTATCGTAGTGATAACTTCAAAAAAGTTGGGAACGAAAAAGTAATTCAAAGCATTGTCACATTTAGCTCACAATTTGCAATGAGTGCCAACAGAGGTATAAAGTACAGATGATCTGGTTTTGGCTCTGAACACAATTAGCTAAACTCTAGGGTTAAATATTAATCAAATTTAGGGTATAAATGTCATGTTAGTAAATTAGGGTTGCCATCTCCTCATTGCTTTTGTTACGTATCTCTGCAGTTGTGCATTTATTACGAAATTCTGAGAAACTTTTGGCAATTAACCTCATTATCTAATAAATCTCATTTCTAGGAAATTTCAGGGTTTTTTGTCAGTATTCTTTTGAAAGTGCGGGTCTCATCCTTTGCCCCTCTTTATAGAGGTTCGTCATTTTAATCCATCGAAACTGAGCTAAAAACGTTGAAAAGTTATCGTCTCGAAAGACCGAAGACTGTAAATGTTTGAAGAGTGACTTTTGAGGATATAAAAAAGCGTTGAAATAACCTAAGCGGAGAAACTTTAGGCTTTTATTAAAATATTTCGGGTAACTGCGATTGCGATAAAAAAAGTGTATTGTTAGAAAGGAAAGCCAATTTTTCTTGCGAAATAATTGCTGTGAGAACCCGTCGCTTTATGACGAATGTTTCTATCGAACTCACTATGACATTTTGACGCTAGTTTTCAAACCTTTATTATTATTGAAATCTTCCAGGCTTGTCTTCTGCTTTTGTCAACAACGCAGTCAAACATCAACAGGGACAGACGTCCGCCGCGAAAAACATGTTTCGCTTTAATTGATTTCCAATTTTTCTTTTTCGTCTTTATGGCAAAATATGAAAGGAAATGAAATGAAACGATTTCGAAATTATTTAAATTTTGTAAGTAAAAGACATATTATTTCTTTTAACATGTAAGTCTTCAAAAAAGAATTAGGTAAAGTACGGAAAGCAAATGAGTGAAACTATAGAAGGGAAAAGCAAACAACTTCTAGAAAACTTTTAATCTGGCAAAAAAAAAAAAATTAAACACGATGCCAGTGTCTTGGCTACGCATGGAAAGGATTCCTCAACGCTTCCTAAACAGTGCCCTTTTAGAATCTAGCGCATAAAGAAATTTTGGCAAAAAGCTAGTCCGTTGCTGTTTCTGTTGTTAGGCAAATTTTGGCCGATGATAAAGATGCCACTCCACGTCATAGAAGTTATTGAATTCGAACATAATACAAGATTTTTATTTTCTAAGTGAATATAACTAATATTAAATTTGTTAACCTTACAGTTTTATCAGCTCTATGAAGGCGAAGGAACCAGTTAACTTTCTCGAATAATCTTAAATTTATGCTGTTTATACTTTGAAATAGTGAAAATGTTGATCTGTGATATCAGTTCGGCTGAAAAACGTGAAAAAAGGAAATGTCGCAATTATCCCTAGACCAATATTGTTTTTTATTTTTAATTGAATCCTTCTAATTGTTTCACTTAAGTTCTCTACCTTCAAATTGTGTTTCTATGTATTCTACATGCTTTTTAAGTCAGTTCTTGACAATGAAGACGAATATAATTATATGGAAAGAGGTTAAATTCACTTTAAAATTACACGCGCGTACCCTCGAATGTCCCCTCACGCTTTCCCCTCGAATTTTGAGGCTTAAAATTTATTTGATATACAAATAAGTATCTTAACTGTTGATCATTCGTAAGCCGTATAATCACCTACGAATATCTCTGCTTCATGGCCAGCTTAAGGCAAATCGACAGCCATTTTTCAGTTTCCACTTACGCTGGAGTGAAAATATAAATATTGCGCTAGGTTAAAAGCCAATTTGTACGTTTTCAGCTCTTTAAATAGATAATCCGCTCAAGGTCTTAAACCAATATTTAATATCCGAGAAAGACACCCTTGTAGTCGGGAAATCCTAAGATTACAACACATCAATTTCCTCTTTGGGTTTCCTACTGAATTTCAAGTTTGCGCCTGACGTTAAAACTCACTGACGAGGAGTGAGGAGAAGTTTATCTAGTGCTTCGTACAGATGCGCTATTGCAAACTGAAAAACTTACTGTATATATAATTTCTGAATCAAAATCAGATTTGTTTTCTTCGAACGTTACGAATCCCTCAAGAACAGGTCTAAAGTTGCTGAGATAAATTAAAATTTGTATCGCTAGCTGTAAAATTAAATAAAGCGATAATTATATCGAGCCGACTTTTTTCTACGTTTTTTAAATTTGTGTTAAATGATTTTTGTTTATGACTTCAAGCACAATATGGTTTAAATGGGTCTTTGACCCTTCCCATATCGTTTTGCACGCGAACGTCGCAACGCTTGATTAGCCCAGTCGAAAAAAACCAAACTTGACGCGAGTCTCAGTAATGTCGCAAAGTCGATATTCGAGTTGAGTTTCACAAACTATGCAACCACGTTTACTCATATTAATTAGTCCTAAAATTTAAAAAACAAAGCTTTTAAAAACTTTACTTACCGATTTTGCAGACAATAGCGTCTTTCTCACATTCAGTCAAAGAACAGGCAGTTCATTTGCGGATTTAAAAATCAAGTACGCCTCCACATGTGGGGTTATGACACAGGTGTTTTAGACGGTTCAGAATGATTACCAATTAATGCATAAATTTTTTGCTATTTGTAGTTTTGTCTGGTAATTAATTACTCAAGTCGGCACAGTCATTTCCACGCACCTCTAAATTATTTGCTAATCTGTTTTTTACTCAATGTTGGGCTAACAGCGAGAGGATACCCCTCGAAAACGAGGAGGATTGGGCGGGAATGAATGAGAGTTCCCTCAACGATTTATTCCACGAAATATAAGATCTGATCAGTTAAACTGAAATGCGAGGCTCATCTTGGATTAGTATGACTGCCTCTTTTACTCACATGAAATCCAAAATTACCCATAAAGCAAAGAAGATTATATTTGCAATCGGGAGCAATGTCTCTTCACTGGCCTATATTCTCCGTTCACAAAAAGGACGTCGCACGGGTAATTCTGGACAAGAGTCAATTTGCAATTCTAGTACGGCGAGTGATATTGGGTTCATAAACCCACATGTGGAGTAAAGAGTTCAATGTGGATCTTATGTCATTTCCATTTTAGTTTCATTTTCATGTCGCAATTTTAAATGTAATGCACCCTTAAACTTGAATTTGTGGGTGCGCCCTTAAAAAGTTTCGCAATGTCAAAGTGTCATCTCTCGACAATTTCTATTCGAGTTCAACGTCCCTTTCCTTTGCAGAGTGTGAACCTTTTTCCCTTTTTCGAAGTATCCATCGGACACTACTGCTATCGCTATGCATGACGATGAAAAGAAACGAATAATTCGCTGCTTAGTAAACACAAAAGTACAAAACAAACGTAGGGCAAACAAAATGAGAAATTTAGCTAATTATAATTTACAGACGAGATCTTTTCAACCCTCTCAAGTACAGCACCTATTTCACTGACGGACGCATTAAACTTGATCGTTTCGTGTGTTTAAAGAAAAGATTGGCCCACATGGGATCAAAACCGTGCGCGGCGTTGCCGAAAGGTTATGTGCAATTTTTATTTACATTGATCTGTAGTTTTTATCTTGGAATTGAAACTAAGAATACACCTAGCTATGCTATTCGCCCCGATCGCGTCAGAAGTAATGTAGATATCCCCCCGTGGTCACTTACGTTCGGAATACGAACAACAGTAGACATATTTTTCAACGAAAGTTGACTTACTCATATATAGCATTACATTCGCCTCACGTATTCACCTAGCTTGAAGAGCAGACGTAATTTTTGTGGGCGAGTCCTCAGTGTTACCTTGGTGAAAATTATAGCTTCCATCTTTAATTTTTACAGCAGCGTTAAGCTGGGAAGAGAAAGACTTTTGTACCAAGGGGGGCGAGCGACGGTCAAAATGAAGGAGAGGGTTGTCTATTCGCCTTTCCCCGCCTCTCCCCCGACCGTCGACTTTAACTCCCAGTCAAACATGGCCGGTTGAACAAATAGTCGCGAGCTTTGCAGGCATAAACTACCAAGTGACAATGTTTTATAAAGTTTTTGTTTCCTTTTATTTTATAAATCACTCAGCAGCTCGTTAATAACTGAATGTAATATTATTAATTCTTTCAATTTCTCCTCCAACAACTCACAAGTCTGCGAAAGTACACGAACACCAACGGTTTGAACTTGACATTTGACCGATACCGTAGTCACGCAAATATCACCAGTCAACAAATAATTTGATGTTTTCTTGTGTTCTTTCCGAAACTTGTTTAATTGGATTTGAAAATGTCGAAATCTATCTTTTGCGTTCTGCTCTGTGAATGGTTACCATTGCATGAATGGCGAAAGTTTCAGCATATATTCACTCAAATCGATACCACACTTCGTCGAGTAAGCGCCGACTCCTCTAATAAAGAGCTCTTCCCCGAATACAATCCACCCCTTAAGCCACAATTTCAAACTAGCACCCATTTCGAAAAAGTTCCCCTCCTCCTACCTCACTTTCTTTAATGGTAAGGATACAAGGAAAACCTGTTCCTATTGCCATTTCATTTATAAAACTTTTAAAGCTTAAACTACAACGAAATTGATAGAGTAGAATTTTTTTTTTTTCCGCTAAGTAACCTAGTTATATCTATCTCCGTGTTCTTTCAGAGTTCCTTCATGTGCGTCATCTGTTTCTTATATTTTTCCTATTATAGGAAACGCCAATTTTCCTATTGTTAATGATAATAAAGCTCGGATATAACACGTACTATCATTGGTTGAAAGAGCGTGCTCTATGAGAGTTTATAATAAAGTTCGGATATAACGCGCGGTGTCATTGGTTGAAAGAGCGTGCTCTATGAGAGTATAGAGCATAGAGCTGAGCTAAAGCTGTCACGCCATCTGCCAAACTGTACTATGTTCGACCTTTTCCGGGACTTCCTTTTAGCTTTTTTCCGATAATTGAAAGTGAAATTTCGGAACAAGCGAGCCGGCAAGTAGCAACAGAAGAACCAAATAAAGGTTTGTAAACATACCAGGCGCCGTAATTTACGTTATTAAAACGTGAGTAGATACGAAAATCCTCAAAGGAAAAACAAAATAGACATTCGAGGTTTTAAAGATTGATTCACGCTCAGTAGATTGCAAGCTTACGTACGGAAATAAAAATCAAACACAGCTAACACTCATATAGTATATAAAGTTCAGTGTTCAAAAACAAAACAGAACAAAACAGGAATGATGAAAAATATAACCAAACTGGCATAACTGTTAAAATTCATTCTAATCATGACGGTGTCTGAGCGAATATGATCATGCTGAAGTTCATTGCGGCTCGCTCACCCTGGCGATCTCCGGTCATCACAGTAAGCCTCAGAAACTACATCGGCCGCCCTTCGAGTGAAAAAATAAGAGCTTGCTCTGATATCCTTTCTTGTTGCGTCAAGTGGAAAGTCACATCTGTCACTGCAGCCGAGTTTTGCGGCGCTGTCATCCCGAGCGATCTTCATATTCCGGTAAATTCGGCTGTCGTTCATTCAAAAAACACTCGCCCTGAACAGTTTGTTTTCTACCTTGTCATGTGAAAAAACTTGCGTGTTTTGAAGGTGAACTTTGATGGTTTGACACTTTTGACAGCTTTAGTCTTGTACAGCCAATCAGATTATTTGAACCATTCTAACAGGGATTCTGATTGGCTTATTGTTGCGTGCTTTATGAGAGTATAGAGCATGCTGACGACACTGTTCGCTTTGGAAATAAAGTTTGTTTTGAAAATTGAAAGTAATGCTCAGGGAATTTAATGGATTCTTTATTATAAAACAAATAGAGAAGCCTTGGCTGTGCTCTGTTCTGTTATAAAGCACTTAGGAAGCGGCTAGAGCACTCAAGAGCTTCTTTCACTTCTTTCGTGCTCTAGCCACTTCCTGCGTGCTTTATAACAGAACAGAGCACAGCCAAGGCTTCTCTATTTGTTAAATAGAGCATAGAACTGAGCTAAAGCTGTCACGCCATCTGCCAAATCGTACTATGTCCGACCTTTTCCGGGACTTCTTTCTAGCTTTTCTTGAGTTAATAAAAGTGAAATTTCGGAACCAGCGAGCAAAGGTTTGCAAAAAATGCCAGGCGCAGTAATTTACGTTATTGTAACGTGAGCAGAGACAAAAATCCTCAAAGATAAAACAAGATAGACAGTCCGAGTTTTTTTAACGGTTTTCACGCTCAGTTAGATAGCGAGTTTACGTACGGTAATAAAAATCAAACACAGCTAACACTTGTATAGTATATAAAGTTTCGATTTCAAATAGAAAAAAACAGGAATTATGAAAAATATAACCTGGCATAACTGTTAAAATTCATACTAATCATGATGGTGTCAGAGCGACTTAAGGTCTATCGCGGCTAGCTAATCATGGCGATCTTCGGTCATCGCAGTGGAGCAAGCCTCAGGAACTAAATTGACTGCCCTTCGAGTGAAAAAATAAGAGATTGCCCTGATTACCTTTCCGATGCGTTGAGTGGAAGGCCAGATCAGTCACTGCAACCGAGTTTTACGGCGCTGTCATTCCGAGGGATCTTTTTGTCTTAGTGAATTCGGCTGTTGTTCATTCATAATACACTCGCCTTGAACAGTTTGTTTTCTACTTGTCATGTGAAATAACTCGCATATTTTTGTGAGCTACGATTGGGCCGAATTTCACTGAACATTTCACTTTCAGATCCTGTATTAGAAACTAAAAAACTTCAGGCATAAGTGTTAAATTCGACATGCCGAGCTATTTTAGTTTGTAAACTATTGCAGAATATGAACTTTGATGGTTTTTGAACTTTGATGGTTTGACATTTTTGACAGCTTTAGTCTTGTACAGCCAATCAGATTATTTGAACCATTCTAACAGGAATTCTGATTGGCCTTTGTAGGGTGCTTTATGAGAGTATAGAGCACGCTGACGACACTGTTATTCGCTTTGGAAATAAGATTTGTTTTGAAAATTGAAAGTAATTCTTGGGGAATTTAACGGATTCTTTATTATAAAACAAATAGAGAAGCCTTGACTGTGCTCTGATGGCGACTACGTCTCGTGTTCCCCTACACTTCTTTCGTACTCTAGCCGCTTCCTGCGTGCTTTTACAACAGAACAGACCACAGTCAAGGCTTCTCTATTTGTTAAGTAAAACACAAACATGGCAGCTCTTGACTTCGGCTCCAATCGTAATATACTTGTTTTAAAAATATTCCTATCACACTACTTACAGTTAGTAAACGAACCTGTATTTTAACAAAATATATAAAGAGGGTAAGTTTCTAAAGAAACTGTGGTGCTGCGTCTGTGGGAGAGTATAGCAGGTAAATTAGTGTTAACAACTGAGTTGAAACCGTAAATTGGCCACCGTACAGAGTAAAAAGCTGACGTTTCGAGCGTTAGCCCTTCGTCAGAGCGATTCAATCAGTGGGCCAATTTACGTTTTCAACTCAGTTGTTAACACTAAATTACCTTTTAACAAAATACATTTGTTAATCACTTTTTACGACATGCAATCTGTCACTAAGGTTTTCTTTTTAAAAGAATTCTATATTGATTTGATAAAATATAAATATTTTACGTACATGAAGGGCCGGGAAAACAATATTAGGGCAAAACTTGTTCTGTTAAAACACAAGGCAACATATCTTTGTCTTTCCTAAAAAAAAATTTAAAAAAAAAGAAAAAGATAAGAATTCAATATATTTCTGATAAATTTCTCAATTCCTCTAGCTACAGTAGTTCCATTTAAACCAAGCCAGTAGAAAATACAGCCAATCAGAATACATGAGGGCATTTGTATATTGGATAGTATTACCTGCAACCTTCCCATTGTGCTCTGTTGAAATTTAATAAGTGGCACCCTTTTCAGTTCCTTACAAGCCTTTGACCATGTCAACTTTATTTGCCAAGTATAAGTTGTAATTGGTGTTTACTTCAATTTTAAGACTTAGATTTATACAGAGTTTTAAAACATCATAGAGCTTATCCAAAACTATTCTAAATGGAGTCTACTACTTATCTCATATTGATTGTGTGGGCCACTGTATTCTCTGTGTCATTGTTTAGAGTAGTTAGTGGCATTTCCTCATGTTATATCAATGAATAACCCTTCTTGTCACTGGTATTTTCATGGTATACACAATTGTGGTATACCAATTGAAAGCATTGGATAAGTAGCCAGTAACAGACTGTAGAAATGGATCATTCAACATTCATCCAACAGTTATCAGAGAAATCTGGGTAAATTTTTTAAGTCTATCCTCCAAACCAGTGACAGACCTTTTTTGTTTTGTTTTGTTTTGTTTATGATTGCACCAACAGCTTTACCAGTACCATTTCCATTCATGCATAGAAAAAGACATTATAGGAGTGTAGTTCTTGTCAAATATAACTCTTCAACACATTTTTGTATAATATTCTCATTACATATTTGAAGTTTTAAGCATGATTACAGAAAAAAATACCAACTAAGCTGCACAGATAATCAATTCATGAAGATCAAAACTAACCTGAGATCTTTCAACAGTTCATCTAAGTCTGAAAACCTTTTAGAACTCTTGTAAAGGAATACCCAGCCATCTTCTGCAGAACTGATCTGAAAGTTGTGATGGATACTACATTTAAGTACTAATCTTTAAATCCAGACCTACAGGAGTAAGGTGTGGAAATGAAAGGACAGAGAGGTTCCTAGTCCTCACCTTGAAGTACATCAATTCAACTTTGTCACCCACATGAAAGTACGAGGCCTTGAGCATTATGTGAGCTGGTAAGAGATCTAGAAGCAAACCTAGCCCCAACTTATCTCAAATCTTCTAACTGATGGGGAAACACACGTCCAGCAACACCAATAATAATGGCTTTCTTGTAAGCCAAAGCTCAATAAGTTACAGCCAAGCCAATTAATGCCCAGCCATATGGCTAGGTTAATGATTAACAAAGTTTTTTTTAAAGTCAATTAATTATCTTGAAACTGTCAAGCATCTAATTTAAAGCACATTGTCATGCTATTAAAGCTGTGAATAGTACCTTAAAGTGGTAAAGCTCTTTATTTGAGTCATTTTTCCAACAGTACAAGGTTAAAACCTGCAACCAAAGAAAAAATACACTTGTTGAGTAATGCACCAGCTGGTGAATATACTTTAGGTCTAATTCTGAGTGTGTAGGGAAAACATATATATCACCAAGGAAATACAAAAGGGAGATTTATCTTCATCTTTAATCATATCTTCACAGATTTTGATAGAGTTTTTACGAAATACTTCTGAATTTCATTCATCAAAATTTTCTGGAGCCCATCTTATGAAAGTTCCCACTAGTAATTGAACGGGCTTAGGCCATATCTTAAAATCAAAATTTTAAGAATAGAGAAACTGATTCTGGTACCCTAATTTTAACTCTTCAGCTGATGGTTTCAATATATCATTATCAAAACTTTTAAAACCCCCATATCGAATGAAAACAGAAGTGCTTTACAGGAGAAACAGACCTCTTGTTATTTTTGGAATTTTTTATGGGTTCTTCTAGAAGGAACACTAAAAATGAAATAGGCCAAGATAAGTTTTATACATGCACCTTTAATCCAGTTGAGGAAGTTGAATCTCGAATAAGGAAAGTACCATTTCTTTTATCAGCTGGTAACGCCCTCACTTTGTCCAGAAGAAACTCCTCAAAATACTGTCAAAATTGTGATAAATGGAGATAATTTATGTTAAAATTAATTCTTATTTTAAAAAAATTAAGATTTCAAATGACCAAGATATGTGTTGTCAATCATGATTTTGCTATTTCAGTTATAATCAAAATTACAATTTTTATTACAAATTTGTCCTTACTAACAAAAGCCATAAAAAAGGAGACAGAATCATGATCTCAAACTATGTCAAAATTAGACATCTTACCATGTTTAAAAGTGAAAGGTTTTGATGTATATGTTTTTTGAAAACAGTTTAACAGACTTCAAAATAAATAAATAATTAACACTATGATGACATAACTTTACATTGTACTTACAGATCTTGACTTCACAGGGTCAGGCTCTTCTTCTTTTGGTGTCACAGAATATTGATCAAACTTATTTGAGCCGCTTGCTGTCAAGTCTGAATTCTCATTTACAGGTTCATAAACTTGTTTGGGAGGAGTAGGAGGAAGAACTGTTACATAGTTATCTGAAGCGGAATCCTCTCCAACTTTGTCATCAGCTGGCTTTTTCTCTTGCTCTAAACCCGGTTTCTGTTCATTAGGTGATTCTGGACCCTTATTCTGATCTGGAGCCTCTGGGGATGGTTCTAAAACAGCATACACTGGTGAGCTCCCTTCAAAAGCCCCATCTTCTTTAGGGTTTATTTCATATATGACATCATTTGATGGCAATTGAAAGGCACTATTAGAGTCAGTGCCTTCAACTTCAGAATATACATGATCCTCAGTTTCTGGAGTGATAGCTTTATTAAAGAATTGCCTGGGAGGTTTGGAGGGTGGCTGTTTATCATTTCTAGCTTTAGTTTGGTCTTGAAGCTTTGGCAAGTTTGTTACAACATCCACAGATTCATAAAACTGTCCTGGTTGGTCAACAAATCTATCCTGGCCATCTGATGAGAGACGCGATGTTCTCCTTTGATTGGCTTGCCCTCCTGCTGAGTTCTTGGCACCATCTTTAATATTTTCTGAATTAGATGGGTGGCGAGATCTACTAGCTGCAGCGCTGCGTTGATTTAAAGATACGTCGTCATAGGCTGGAACCATGCTTGCACGACTAGATGCCACACTTGTGGTGTCTTGATGCTGGCTCTGTTTATCAGCCAGACTGGCAGTAGATACAGAGTCATGGCTTGGAGCTGAAAAAGACAATGGAAATGCCCACTAAAAAACTTTTTAAGATCAAAATCCAATAGCATTCACTCCTTCACCCCCTGAATCACACATTGAGATCACAACAATAGAGAAAATTATCACCAACTAAAGAAGTCCTTAATTGTGAAGGAAATTCTTCTCTACATCACCTAAGGAAAAGTATGGGAAACAGTATGGAGAATATGCATACTGATGTTATGGAGTAAAGGGTTAACTGACTGCTGCTCAATGAAAATAGTTTACTCAAAACAAATATTAAGCTATTTTCCAGAATTTTCTGTTGCTTAGAAACCTTACCCAAACACATCTATAAAGGATATTGATTTTGTACTGTTTTCATTATTCATGTATATGCCTGCTCTCTTAGTCATTTCCTATTTTGACTCAAGCTTGTTATGGAAGAATTTGTTTTAATGTTTACTTTCCTCCTGCATTGCTTAGCTTTGCTATTTTTTGGGCAGGGATTGTTAGAGATGTATTTTTATGGCTAAGATAAATACATTTTGTTGTTGATGTCACTGTTGTTGCTACAAAACTGAAGAATTGACTGAACTGGCCAAAAAATTCAAATTTTTTGGGGAAAATTTCTTTACAAATCATCTGAGCTAACTGACCAGCTCTGACATATATTATCCTTTGTCATGATTCCTGTCCTTATGATTTAGTCTCCCAAATGGAAATGCCTCTTAAATCTCAAGACAACAAAATTTGTCTTGTTGCCAAGGCCATCTTGTTTATTGTGTTACCACCTACCCTGTAACTGAACAGTTTCTATGAAACAATAAAATTGCAAAAATATTATACCTACATCTGATTACACGCTCATCAGCACTGTCAATAGCTCCATAAGAAGGGTGCCCACTTCCTTCACTGCTGATGGGCTAAAGAAAATGAAAAGACTTTACTGTAGGATCATGCAGGTTTACCCTGATTGGGCTGGCTGACTGCTCATGTCATACTAGCGTAAAAATCATTTTGGGAAAAAACCAAATCTACACCAAGTACTCTATTTTAAGATAATGAGTTGTGCTTACTTCAGTTTTTATCAGCCACTATAATTATCTTTTTTTTTGCCATATTAACACATAACTTTCTATTTCTCCATCCCTTCTTTCAGTTTTCAAAAGTTTGTAATTTCAGTGCTTTTGTTATACCCCGCCCTGACCTATCCAAGATTGAAAATTCATTTGAAAACCTCCAGCTCAATGTAATCTTTCATGGCTGATTGATAATAATATTTCACCTGTCTTGGAGTATCATGAAAGAAGCTTGATAATTATTAGATATGTTGGTAAAGTTTCCGCACAGCCATACTATTGTAAAACAAATCTGTTTTCCCAACGGAAATGTATTGTTTTTGTCATTGTTTCTTCTGTTCAAGAACTGAATGCATAATGTAGGATGGGGCTGTGCGGAAATTTTACCGATATGTTAACCATGGAATTCCTAAGACGAAAAAGAAGAGCTCAATGCTTCAGTTTTTCTGATCGGAAAGTTGCTTGCTCTTATGTGCGAAGTGATGAGAAGTCTGCTATAATGCCTGTTCAAGACAGTTGTTGTGGTTTATAATCAGCTAAATTTAAATTGATTAACTACAGAAATTGATCAACAAAGAGGTCCAAATGGCGCCCGAATCCAAATCACTGTATCATCGAAGTAGGTTTCGTCTTTTGTTACCTGAAAATCAACCATACCTGATATGGATAGGGGCTTGATCGGTCATTGCTACTGCGTCGAATGCGTTGCCTATTCCGTATCTTCCGCTGTATGCAGCAAACGAAAGCTGTAAATGGGATTCCAACAATTATAAATGCCACGATTGCAATGATTATGTAAGCCCAGTTGTTGTATGTGCAACCGGGTTTACCATCTTGGTATATCCGTTTAGTAAGCAGCGGACAAGTAATGTTCTTATCATCACCGTCCAAATACTCGAGCAAAATTCTCATAGTTGCGTCAGGAACATAACTGGAGCGTACCTCCCTCAGAAGGTACAAACATTTCAGCATATATGAACATAATCTTGTTTGGGGAAATACCGCTACTCCACGGCTCAGGGTAAGCTACTTTCTAAAGAAGTACTTTATTGGCTAAAATTAAGCAGCCAATAGAAGTTAGCTTTACATCCTGCGGCGTCTAGAAAACCGTGAAACATTTCCCTTAGAGCCTCCTGAAATTGTGAAACTAAGAAAACTGTACCGAGATGTTTAAGAAGAAAAATCGAGGTGGTAAAGCGTTGCAAAGTGGAAGAAAAGTGGGCTTAGAAGTTGGAGGAGCGAGAAATGTCAAAAGATCGCAAGATCTGCGCTCTGCTCTTTCTCGAAAAAAGGCTAAAAAAGCGCAAGGGTTTCGTGTTCCTGCCACTAAAACGAATACGAGGAATATTGTTGACGCGAGGCAAACTATTTCTTCGAAAAAAAAACTAACTCAACCGATCATTCGTTCCATTTCCTTGCTAGAGGATCAGAGAAAAGAAAAAAGACAAAATGAATTTCAGAAAAATAGGTCTTTGACGCTGTCGACTGGTGGCCATATTCAAATTACTACGAAGCAAGATGTCCCGCCAAATAGGTCAGCTACAGTGATGGGAGATTCGATCCGGATCACTGCCAAAGTAGAGCGTAGTAAGGAAGATTTGGAACGAGAAGCAAACATCACTGCAGGGTATCTTACGATAACAGCTAAGAATGAGGAGGCAAAAAGAAAAGAGAGGGAACAACTCTTAAGAAAGCGAGAGAGACAAAAAACGAAGCAAAAAAAAGGAGGGAACGAGAGAGAAAGCTCAAAGAAGAGAAAAGGAGAGAAGGGAGAATACGCTGTACAGTCAGATTAATGTAGAAAACAGCGTCTACGCATCAAAAAATCCGAACCTCTCCTAGCGGGCAGATTCGGAGATAGTTTGTTGGAGGGCAGATTGGATCACGGAATGAGCAGTACCGCAGCACAGATTCAAAGGGGTCGGGAGCCATCTAAACAAGACATAACAACTTCCGGTTGTAGGATCACGGTCTCGAATTTACACCCGCTTGTTACTCAACAAGACGTTGAAGAACTCTTCGGCGTAGTGGGTGAGTTACGCAGTTGTAAAATGCTTGGAAGGGGATCAGCAGAAGTTGTGTATGTGAATAAAGAAGATGCACACTTTGCAATTAATAGATACAACAACAGGAAACTTGATGGGCAGCCGATGCTTTGTAAGCTAAACATGCAACCATCAGCATCACTCTACTCACCTCCACCGGCCAGACTAGCCCCTCTTCCTCCTCTACGTGCTGCCCCTGCACCAGCAGCAAAGCCTCTTCCAAGGAGTGTTCCTGCAGAGTATGATGGAGCACCAACAGAAGCTTCAAGACCAGTGGTCTTCAAAGTCAGAATATAGGAAAGTCCAAACTCTCATTGATTTAAACTTTGTGCTTGAACAAGTTTTGTAACGATTTGTGTATCTTAAACATTTTAGTTAGAATATTTCAAGGTTGTCATTTTGAGCCCCCAGTAATAATGTAAATGCCACCCCCCCTGGTAAGGTGAGAAAGAAAACCACACTTTTAGAGAGGAGGAAATTAAGCCAAATTTTGTGAACTTTAGAAAACTGTTACATTTAGTTTAAGTTTTTTTGTCACATAATGGCAATTCTGTTCTTCATCTGAAATGAAAACATCTTCTCAAATTTCACTTTACTGAAAGAACTGCCACAGTTTTGTTCTTGTTATGTATTCATGAGATTTCTTGAAAATTCATACTGTAACTTTGCACAAAGTTTGTTCAGTTTAGGGATCCCTATATTTTTGTAGGTTTAAGAGGTATTTGAATTGTTAAATGTAAGCTAGTTCCATTACACTTATAGAATTACGAGTTAATTATATGACAATGAATGATCACAATGGTCACCATCATTGTCTTAAACTTTAATTCCGTGATTTCTTCCTAATTTTTTAACATTTTAATGATGTTGTAGCCATGTTCTGAACACAGTAGAGGATTGATCATTCTTTTAAGAGTGACTGCAATGTAACTTCTCCTTACAATACAACCCCTGAATCACACATGAATACAGAAGAATAAAGGAAATGATCAGTAGCTAACAGCTTTTGATTGTTAAACAAATTCTTATGGCCAAGACCTTGGGAAATGTATGGGGAACAGAATAGAGAATATGTATATTGATGTTAGGGTGTAAAGTGTTAATTTCAAAGATCTGCTATAGTACTCTTTCCTCTAGTTCTTGGTTTCATTGTAAATTAGGATTTGGACTCGCAGTGTTTATATCCTCAGACAAATAAATTGTGGAAAGAAACCAAAAGAAGGGATCTTCCTATTTTCATTTCACTGGTTGTTGAAAATAACAAAATTAACCAACTTTTAATGAATTCTGGAAACACAATTATTGTTTGTTTGACAATTTTAGTGGGATGATCAGACCAACAAAGTTGTCAGCTAAGGCATTTAAAGGTAGAGCCAATTTTTCCATTTTTAGGTGGTGGAACTTTTACATATGTTTTGACTGCATGTAACACTACACACACTTGTGTGAAGACATTTCACAAAAGTCCCTGTATGAGGGCTGTATGCAATGGCTTGGGTGGGAATAGCGACAGATATATAATAAAATGCCTGTTGACTAAGTTAAATTAAGCTGAATGGCAAAGTAATTGGCTCTCAGTTGTAACACACTGACCACCATTTGCTCCCAGCATGCATCATTACCTTGAGCCAGAAGTTTTCATCCCACAATCCTCCCACTCAGTCAAAGTTATTGTACTCTACCATGGACAGCTCAAAATTTTGTATGATGTTCATGTATATGAATGCTTGTCTGTACTCATCATGTAGTAACTGGTCACAATTCATGCAAAAACTTGATGTGTTAATAGCTTTGCCTCATTCTGCCTTTGATGAAATGTCGCTTGATCACACTCAAGTGGAGTCAACCACAAACATAGTACTATGATTCACAAAACCAACATGCTGTGTACAGTAGAAAAGCAACCAAAGTAGGTACTAAAACATTTTTTATTCGTGAAACAGTACTTCATAAAATAATACAGCTTGGTTATGTCAACTAAAAAAAAAAAATGAACAAGTTTAACTTGATAACTTTACAAACAAGAACCATTATCCAACTATTAAACAACTATCAACAGTCCTCCAAAGGTTTATGATAAAATGGCAGTATTCCTGGATTAAGATTTTGAAAACCCTTCATAATTTTCATCACAATTGCTTAATTTATTACTCAAGTTTTTCTTTTCCCTCATTGTACAGCATACATTAGTGAAAAGACACCAACGACACAAGTACCAACAAAACAAACAGGCAGGTTACACTTTTTTTCAACGATGACTTTGTCTCTGTCTATCATTAGTTGAAATTTGCTATTACCTACTTAAATATACAAGGCTGAAATTTGGAGAAGCAAATTAAATAACATTTTTTCCCCTCAAGAGGCAGAAGCTTGAGGAGGGGGTGGTGCCATTGGAGGAGCTAACTTTTCAATGAAGGCAGTGAACTTGAACACAAAGGTCCGCAAGAATGCTGGGCAGCGAGGATGACTTGCAAGCTGCTCAACTGATCGTCGAAACTCAGTAAATAGAAGTCTGGAAGAAATGACAGAGATAAACAGTTGGTTTGAAATTTCATTCTCAAAGGAGCTTTGATAAAACTGCACAAGTAAACCCCTTCAACATGCAAAAGATCTTGCATATGACAGATCACTAACCCTTCATCTGACATCACAAACATTTTTGAAACTTTGATTACGGTTTGTTTGACTCTGTTTTGCTAGACTGTAGAGAAGGCAGTGGTTGCCCTCACCAGCTGATATAATAATATAATATATAAAGATACCAGTGTGAGGAATTGCAACACAACCACATCACTTTTGTACTGAAATTGTGCTTACTATAAAATCAAACTCTAATATTTTTACTTGTAAAAAAAATAATTTGAATGCTCTTTGCCAACAAAATGAAAACAAAGGATGTTTAATTAATATTCAAAAATTCTGTCACTAACCTACAATATGGGTTCCGCCTGGATGCATATCTAAATCCCACAAATCGATAGTAAACAAAAGGAATGACAATGCCAGCTTGACCACTGAAATTGAAAATTCATCCACAGCAGCATCAGTAACATATTGAAACATTATCCATAGATCGTCCATTTCAAACTCTTACTACAGTATATTATCCAAGAAGACTAGAACATCCAACCATTTGCAAATGTCATAGCATAGGCAAAACAGTCTCTTCATTTATTTTAAGACCCCAAGTGTTGTTTCACTCTGGGGCTTGAACCTTAGACCTCTCTCATGGGAGTGTGGGAACCTCACAACATGAGCTACCCAGGTGGAGGAAAAAAGCAGTATTAATAATTAAACTTCATTTGATGTTTTTCACCAATCATTAGGAAAATGAACTGTATACAGACCTGAGTGCCATTAAAATAACAGCTGGCATCAGCATTATCTCTGTGCAAGCAATGAACCTCAGCAATCCCTGCTGATGAATCTCCACCTTCTCTATGGCTTTACGAGCTGACCTTAAAAAAAAAAAACAAAACAGAACAAAAACATACAACTTACAGGAATGAAAGAGTATTTAAGTTGTTGTTGATTAAATGTTCAGATAAAATCCAAAATTGCACTGAGTTCTCACACAAATTCTTGTTTATTGTTAATGGTTTGGATATTACATTTGTTCCAATTGTAAAAAAAAGTAGTTCAAACATGTTCTTTTGAATTCTGAACACTTAATGATTAGAAAATAATTTGAGAAAATAAACCATAAGAGGGCAAACATGTAAATAACCAGTAACCTTTTACCCCTAAGATTGGCCATCATCTAATTTCTTGTCACAGCATTGCAGTATTGGATTATGAGGAGCAAGGAAATGAATGCCAGTTTAAGAAGTTATTGATCATTGAACATATTCTCCTTGTCATTATCATAGGAAACGTAAAGAGAACAGCATGAAGAATATGTACACTCATGTTAGGGTGTAAAGGCTTTTAAAAAAGCATTTGCCTAGCTGATTCATTGAATAAAAGGACAAAATTTTTCTATTTCAAAATGGGAAATGACTTACAGACTTAAGGATTTATTCCTCAGAACCTCACATTAATGAACATGCAATCATGTTGAATTTTGAAATGTAAAAAACAATTGAATTGGAAGAGAAAGAGCGTTTACCTTATAAGGGACATGCTGAAAATTCCACCACTTCCAAGGATCTGCACACAGTAGAAAAGACAGAAAATAATATTCCACAAGTAACTATCAACTTAATGTTGTATAAATAATAACACAGTGTGAAGATTTGTGGAACAAAAGCAACTTCAACTAACAGACAACCACTCAAAAATTTTGTACTCACATCTAGTAACTTTTTTGTAAATGACACAGTGTGAAGAAGGGCAAATAATGCAACTGGGATTAAGATGACTTGTGAGAAATTTGTAGTCAAGGAAAGTTTTGCAATTGAAAAGTTGTCTACAGTGTGATGGGCTGAATTATACATATCATACATTTTAAAATCACATTTTGACACCCCATTTTGTGACATTAATTGCTTGATAACAAGAAAGGTTGCCTGAGACAACACTGTTATTTTGCAGTCAAAACCCTGTCTCCAAACTATTTCCACATTCCACTAAACTGACAATTGTAGTGTCTCTAAGGTGAACCAAAAACACTGAGGCTTCTTTCTAAACCAAAAAAAAAAATTGGAAACTAGCATTTGCTTCATTTCACATTTTCATCTTTAAAATCAAAAGATACTTGTGACTGGATGAGAGTTGACAAACATGATGCTGTAAAGTAGATAATGGCAACTGTCTTCACTAAGCAGCAGTCCAAAGAATTCTCTTGAAAACTGGAATCTCTGTGAAATGAAAAAAAAAGTATCTATATGATTAAAAATCTCATAATTTTTAAATATTGATAGAACAAATTTATTTTGTATGAGAATGAAATAACACAATTTTACATACTGGAAGTCGTTGATGAAGCCTTAAAGCTGATGTGGCCGCTGAACTGATCAGCACTCTTTTGTAACAGTTATAGCTGAACATAGGACTGCGATTCAATCAAATGGAACAAGAAATGTTAGTAACTTAACAAAAAACAGTTTCTAAGAACCTTTGTGCATATATTGTAAACTTATAACAGTTTTTGTGCCACAAAACAATCCTAGGCAGAGCCATTCCTTTTGGAACAAATGTCCAGTGCAAGCAAACCCCTTGAGCAACATTTAGTCAGGACTCCCTGACGGTGGGTTGGTACTCCTGTGTGGAGACAGGCACTCTGAGAGTGCAACAAAAGAAAATCTGTAGCCTGAATAATGTCAAGAGTAAGCCTACTTTTCTAGCTTGCACTTTAACCCTTTAACTCCCATGAGTGACCAAGACAGAAATTCTCCTTACAGTATCAATACAATATCAACCAGATAGGTGATGAGAATAAAGAAAAATATCAATTTGGGGTTAGTTGATCCAATACTAAATTCTCTGAAATAACATTAGAAGAATTGTATGGTTGACACTAAGGAGAATTATAAATTTGATCTGGGAGTTAGGGGATTAAAGATTTGATCCAGTAAAAATGCATTCTCAACTTCATTAAACCTTTTATCATTAGCAAATTTCACCAATTGGTTGTAGGAATGGGGGGAGGGTGGGGAAGGGAGGTTCAGGGGCTCTTAAAAGTTATTATTTTGAACAGTTAAATTGAGCATAATGAAAAAAAATGACCATAATTTTTGGTATAAAGCCATATTTCAGGGGTGATGCTCAAGAGCAAGAATGTAACAAAAGAAACCTTGCTCAAAGCTCACACATGGACTTTCTGATCCAGAGTACACCACACTAACCATTATGATGTCACATCAGCCATTTACCCAGATGTGTAAATTTCACTCCTTCATAATTGTATCATTATTATTTTGAATTTGAATGATCTAATAGAAGCAACAGGCTTTTACAGAAAACACTTTTGGTTAGAATAGATAAAAAAGAAGACTTCTGAGCTTTAAAAAAAATTAAACATACTTTTTAACAAATTGGGACTTTAACTTAAGAAATGTCAGCCAGAGTCACTTGCTACAATATTTTCTAGTTTGGTTATTAGCAACCCTTTTTGTTTCTTTTTTGGTCTTTAAATTAGTACAACATCCTTCACTAATTGTCCATGAAATCTAAGAAATGAAAAGCTTTTTAATCAATTAAAATCAAAATAGTTTCTATACATAAAATAAGCCATCATTGTAACTAAATCTTAGATATGTCTTTGACCGGTTGGTCATTGCTCAAATGACTTCAGTTTGTATGAACTGCCACCTGTAGTTCACTCAAATATTTACATGGAAATAAATTCTGTGCCTAAATTTAAAATGTCTGAGCTATTATTTCATTCCCTCATTCAGAATATTCCCCAATTACTTTTTTCTGTTACTACAGTTGTCAGAGAAAACCCTTGGATATTTACTGTGAAAAAAGGATTTAGACAACTCACTCATATACTTACCTAAAAAATGGAAGCAAATAAAGAATTGAAGTGATGATTGTAAATACTCTTGTAAGCCATAATGCTGAATCAATTTTGTTATCCAACAGATATCGCTGCAAGTCAGAATATCATCATACATTTGTTTAGTCACATATTTCCATTGTAACACACAGTTGATGGCAAACTTCAATACTAGAACATTATTTAAATACATAGAAACTTTCTAAAAAAACTCATATTATTTGTTAATGGGTATTTTGTCAATATTTTGACATTGCAAGTCAAAAGTAAAAGTAACAATTGGAAATATATCAAGAGATAAAAACAATAGAGAGGAACAAACCCATTGATTGCATTTTAAAAGTTCACAGAAAATGTATCAGCATGTTTAATTGTTTTATCTAAGAAATGCCTTTTAATCAGATCATCAAGCCTTTGTTCAACACACTGAGTGACTCAATTTGCCCTAAACTTTTTACCTGACACTGAGTTGTCAATTCACCTTTGGGAATTATACCCCTAAGGAAAAAAACATTCTGTCTCTGTTGTTTTCATTACTTTATACATTTTCACTTGTCCTTTTTACTTTTGACTTGTAAATGATATGAAGCAAAATTGGATCGCCATCAAGTTATTTTTTGAACAGAGTTTATGAGACTTTAAGAAGTTTTCATGAATTTATTAAATTCTAGCATTGAACTTTGCAGAAAGATGTTTCTCAAAGCACCGTTTCAACTTTTGCGAAATTGATAACTAATTAGAATTGTTGGATATCATTTTAAGAGGCCATGGATGTCTGCCATATAAAAAATTTATTTGAAGATTACAAGGTGAGAGAGGAGAGAATGGTGAAAACCCTAAAACTCCCCTGACACTATTTAAATATCACAAAAATACAAGGGCTGCTATGAAAATATAAGCATGTCATATATGTAACCATCCCTTAAGTAGTTGTGACATTTTTTGTGTGATTCTTATCATGGGTTTGAAAAATTAAGACCCAAAAAAACACCTTGTCAAATATTATCATCCAAACACTTCCAAGAAGATGAGCTTCAAAAATAATTTTTGGTTCTCCTTTCACTTCCCAATAACTTTGAAGCAGGAATATTCCCTTCCCTCAACAACCAGAATAATAGATAATTAAAGATGACTGAGAAAAATTATTTACATGATAAAATACTCATAGTTGAACAACACAACATTTCCACTTCTGGGATAAGCTGGGTTTAAAAGCTAAGCTCCCTTTCTTCTTCAACATCAAGTAAAACTGATAAATAAATTATTAACCAGAAAAATTTGGGAAATTACCGAAGTACGTTTTCAATTAACGGGATTAAATAAGCTGGATGCTTCAAGACCAGACTGTCTATGCAGGAAGTGGTGATTGTGCCGAGGAAAAATACAGGATCATGTAAAATCAAAACTTTCGTCCCAGTATAGACTACTGACATTTTTTTGAATACACTAAATAATTCACACTTGATGAAAAAGTTAAGTGCACAAATTCTCACGCATTTGCAACCAAGATTCCAAACAACTAAGATCTATGCAATGAACGAAAGTTATTTTTCATAGAAACTTTCATTCGTCTGGCAGTTTTCTTCCGGTAAGATCTCAATTCAATATGAACCCAAAAGGAGGGAATAACCCCGACCTCTAAATGTTGACAGATCTGAGAAATTTCAAGAAACAGACAATAAATTTAAATACTTTTAGGCTTCCTTACCCTAAGTGCAGCCCAGTTAGGGCTGGTCGAAGAATTAGCCGTACTGCCTTCGGGCGGATGAGTCGAAGCGTTCGGATTTCCTTCGTTTTCTTGCGGTGGCATAATTTCAAAGACACAAATCACAAGCTAGAAGCTTCTCTGACGGATTAAGAGACCAAGAAAGGCGATATACGCAAGCAATGATCACTCAAGTCACGACAACAGACACGTTGAAATCAACAAAACCGTACGCTGGTTGAAATAGTGCTTGCATCAACCATCTGCCTCTAATGGGAGCAGCCGCTGGTCTTTCTTTCCAGACCCCGCTCCGAAATTCTGCGAAATTCTAACAGAAACCTCGGTTTGAAGGAACCAATGAAGAAAAAGTTAAGAGGAGTCGCACAATCTAATCGCCCAAATACAAGGTTTTTTTGGTCTGTCATCACATATTTCAAACTTATGTATTGTACTAAAGGAGTTTGGCTCGACAAAAATTTATATTCAAATTTACTGATGCACATGGTTGAAAATACACGAGGCAATAGCCAATATAGAGAACATTATAGAGAACATTATATTACTGGCAATTTTACTTCTGTTAGCTCCTTCTTCTTTCTAACGTTCTCTCGGCTACCGCGTGGAAGAAATCCTATCTCTAAAATGAACTGATAAGTTATTTAAAAACGGCCTAGCTAAATGCCTCGCCGTGTGTGCTTCTTAAAAAATAGTTTCTCCGCTGTTTGCCCTCTTAGTGTTCCTTCAAAATAAACGTAATTAAGAGGTAATTGGGAATTCAAATCAAACTCACGCTGCGCACTCGTTCGATTTTAAAATCATGAGTATGATTTCCGATCAAACCAAAACAATAACAATTTTTTCGGACGTGATTTGTTATCACCAGCCCGATCTATGACAGCAATAGGACTAAGTGGACGCTCGAAACGTCAGATTTTAAACTCTTAGAGTATGTAAGAGAGGTACATGAAGTGCATCGGAAGAAACAAAAAGTACACGAATACATGAATGTTGTGATAATTATTTTTTGCAATGTAATGCTTTCTTTGAGGAAGGGAAGCCTCCGTACTGTGCAATTCTAAAAATTTCATGTTTAAGCCGTAAAAAATATTTTGGAGCAAATGAAATAACATTTTATTGATTAACAATAGCCAAGAGAATATCAACTGATATCAGGAGATCAAGAACATACCTGACATGATATGAAACGACATGGAGACACTTTCAAAAAATTTGAAAAAATATATGCTAATGTTGCGCGGAGCCCAAAATTTCCGGTTAATGTCATTCTTTGTGCACAGCCCCCTGATTCCATGGCATCATTTACTAGAATATAATACCCAAACGCACCAAGATGATTGGTGCATGATATCCAAATGCTGTGATATGATTGGTGCGAGATACATACCCTAATGCGGCAATCTGATTGGTGCGAGATACATACCCTATTGCGGCGATCTGATTGGTGCGAGCAACATACCACTCTACACGCTAACATTGAGTTTTTTTATTTGGTTAAAAAAAATTGTCTCAAAAATGGTGCCTAATGATGATGAACCTGACAAAAGTAAAAGACAAGGCTAAGCCTCAAAATGAAAGGTAAGGTTCAGTCTGCCGTCATATGCACCAGTATTTTTCTCTCTCCCGTGAAGGCCATTCGTCCATGCTGAACGTTCAGATTATCAAGCGCTATTAAATCACCCTTCTTCCACCGAAACCCAACTGCGCATGACCATGAAACTGCTCTGACGTGTTGTAACACTTCCGGTTCGATGTCACTTCCGTCTCCATAATAGGTGTGACAGGGATATTTCTCATCCGGGAGATCAGAACCTTTGTACTGTGGCAGTGCTTTCGAGTAAGTACAGTGGTGTTGTATTGCTTGGTTGAACCAGATTTTTTCTCCTGTTACTGGGTGAGAAAGAAAGGCCGGCGCGGTGTAAGTCAGGTACATATCACCGTTATCGTCCCATCTTACAGTGTTACCTCGCTGCTGTGCTCTTATTTCTGCTGCCTAAAAGAGTAAATAAAGTCATCAGTGTGAATTCAATAAACGGAGACTGAAAATCGTCATTTTTTTTTTAAATCTCCACAATTTTTTTGGTCTTTAAAGGACAATCAATTCTTACATGGGATTCCTGACGTGAACCAAGTTGTATTACCTTTCTGTCGTCAGTGTAAAACTGATGCTGCCAGGGCATGTAGTCTGATCGTGATTTGTCCGGCAGATGTCGTGCATACATTACTCCTTTTTCCTCGAATATTTTCACGACTTCGGGATCAAGTTTGAGTACAATGTCACTGCATTTACCCAGCGGTGTCTCGCCACCACAATTCTCGCCAGGCTCTTTTAGGCAGAAAAAAAATACCTAAAGTGGAAGAAGAAATGAATGAAAGGACAAACGTAAATAAAAAAATCAACGAATGGACAAAGAATTCAACGTATTAACCAATAAACTAATTAGCAAATGGGCGAGTAAGCCAATGAACGAAAGAACGAATGAAAAAATGGACGAACGAACGAATGAATGGAAAAACGAACTGGTGGAATAACGAATGAACCAAAGTACACCACAGTATCCACAAATGAAGGAACGTACACATGAGTGAAAGAACTACTGAATTAACAATAGCGCATCGTAAACCTAGTGGAAGTTTTGCTGATGTTTGGAGCGCCCAGAAAATACCCTGGTGCCTCAGCATTAGCCGTCTGTGTTTTATCATGAAAATACCTTCCTGGGGAAAGTCTTGAGATACGCCATTTCATTGTGTAACTCGATGGTGTACGCTCCAGGCTCAGCACTGGCAAAGTAGATATCAGAATTTTCTATTTCCTTGGGTCTGGGTGCAGTACCACCCTCGTAGTTCAGAGGCTTGCCTCGCATTCCTTCGGTTAAGGCCAAGAAGTCCTCTGCTGTTTCAACTGGAAGTCCGCGGAACAATATCGCTTGGCTATCAGTAAGGCTTTCCTTTATGTATTTCATGCAATTTGCACCCAGTTCTGAGATAGAGGACTGGTCTCTAGTATTGACTCGCACTCCGTGAGGGAAAGAGTCACTTGGCTCCGCCAAGAACTCTGGGAATCCTTCACCCGTTGAGCCTGGGAGAAACTCCCTGTCTCGCAGCCGTGGTCTGGTTTTGGGTGCCAGCTCCTCTTTAGGAATTCGCTCAAAAATACTGCCTGTTACTGATCTTATTTTTGTAGACAAGAAATAAGAAGTAGCCAGTTTTATCGGACTGATATGGCGGAAACGAGATGACTGCCTCCTTGCAGACGTAAAGATAAACGTCGACATGATCTGTGAAATGAAAGTGATATTAATTGGTTTAACTCTTTAACTCCCAAGATCTGATTGTTAGTTCTCCCCTCTAGCTGCTACAAATTTCCTTGTAAATCAGTCACGAGAATTTGATGTTAGATCGAGATAACAACTTTTGCCTAATACATTTGAGCATTCTCGTTACCTGTAAATTGTAGTTAGAAGTAATTTGTCAATCACCCTCTGGGAGTTAGAGGGTTAAAAATTCCACGTGAGCGAATGTAGAGAACGAGTAAACGTAACAAAGTGAAGACTTCATTACAAAACGGTTAACATGTCTTTTTAGGCCGATCTCTATGTTTCTACGTAGCCAGCTAACTTTTGAATTACTTGTTTGTTTACATGAAAAACATCGTCCGTGACTTATGGTTGATTTGCGTTTTCCTGATTGGAAATTTTTTTACGCAAAAAACTAAAGGAACCACTAATTGGATTTTGTCCTTGTGACTCAGCTCATTACGTGGAATACCTTTGAGGCATACTACTTTTGAAGCCAGCTGGGTTTGTTTTCCATGGTAGGTAGAGATTGAAAAATGGACAAATTGTACAAAGCGCATTGTTGTTTACTCCTTGTCTAAAACGACCTATGTGATTTCAAAGATGTTTACTTTCCCACATTTACGAATAGGATTTTATAACATAGATAGTAAATTCGTGTAATCAAATTTGATTGCGCGAGCGTGCTTCATACTCCTTTTTATACAATACAGAGAAAGTATGAGCTTACTGATTGGTCAAAAACTTATCGTTTATTGCACAGGTAAAACAATAGTTATTTTAGAAAAGCATCAGGCTGCACTTTAAATTGGTTTACCGGCGGGCTAACGCTCGAAACCTCAGTTTTGAAACTCTTAACGGTGGCCAAATTACGTTATCAACTCAGTTGATAGTGCCAAATTACCTTGTTATCATAGTACTCTGTCAGTTGTACGGACTTACTCATTAGGTTATTTACTCAGTTTTAAGCTCGTTCGGTTGTAAATTGTACGCGCTTATTCGATTAGTTGAAAATTTTTTCCTTCTGTTGTACGCACCTGATCGGTTGTAAGAATTGCCCGGTCCGTTGTACGCACTTGTTTTCTTATCCTGTTCGACTGAGTTACACTTAGATCGAAAAATCGCACCTTTTCGTTATCTTTCAAAGAGACCTTTGAGCACCTCTAAAATATATTTCATCTTGTTCTTGAACGAGACCAGGGTAAAATTTCCGCACAGCCCTATCCTTCATTATGCATTCAGTTCTTGGATTGAGAAAACAATGACAAAAACAATACATTGTCTTTGGGAAAACAGATTTGTTTAACAATAGTATAGGGCTGTGCGGAAATTTTACCCGAGACGAGCCTGGTCGAGGTTTTGACTACTACAAACTATTCGATCCAGCTCATCTAATTTTCCCTCAACTTGTGCTTCACGCTTATTTAGCTCTTGCTTTTCCTTTCCCGAAGGACTTAGTGGCACTTTTTGATATTGTTTAGAGCTAAAGTGAAAAAATATTCGGCATAATTATATTCAGATCTGTAGGCATTGCAAATTTTATTATTTACGCTAATATGACTACTGTGTTCTTATGCAGCTGATAACTTTTAAAATTCGTTTCCTGGACCAAATACGTGTGTGCTATCTATTGCTACGTTTGAACTGGACCCCAGACCTTCATTCATTATCAGTTTTGTCACTGCATGACCGAGCGAACTCGGTCACCCGTTATTTTTACCAGCTTTCGCCGAGAATCTTCAAGTGAACCGTTGTATCAACCCGGTTTAGCTTTGGAGCTTGTGTTGACACGAAATAATACTACAAATCTCGCCCTTTCGAGTCGGGTCAATCGGGGGTCTCGGCCATAAGGTCACACAGCATGGATGAAGGCTGACCTTGACAACTGTTTAAGTGAACGTCTGTAAACATTTAACTTAGAATGGTAACCTTTTTCGGTTAGACATCCTAGTATAGAGCCGTGTAGCTGAAAACTACGTAAAGAAAGGACAGTTCTGTTTTCAGTCCATGGTCACCATCCTCATTCTGAAATTTGTCAATATAGCGTGGCCATGAATAACGCTCTTCGCTCGTGATTTTACATGCTTTCGCCAAGAATCTACAAACGAACTTTATGATCGACCTCTGTATTGACATCAAATGGCGCGCGTTTGTGAAAATACGAACTTTAACATTAATGAGCGACAAGATCCTACCCAAGTAAATCAGAGCATCTTTTTTAAAACAACAATGTAGTTATTTTTGACAGTCATAATACCATGAAAGCTGAGGAACTAGCCAAATCGCGTAAAAGGGCTTTTCATACAACATTACGTCTCTCTGAAAGGAAATTATTCACTCATATCGTGTCCTCCCTTCCACCAAGATTACTAAATGTCCTCGAGTTCATATACATAATATTACAAGGACTTACTGTAGTAAAAAAAAAAAAAAATCAACCAACCTGCTCTATAGCAGCCCTCGTTACCTTTCACCCGGGATGAGACTCGAAGCTATTGATAGCGTTTTTGACCCTAACTCCAAATGCAAAATAGTTTGTCTGCTTCACAAATGTAGACATCACCTGACAACACAGGCCCAAGCTCACGCCTCGAGAAAAAGTTAACGATTAATTCATGAAAGCGTCACGCGTTGTGTGACTCGTTAACCACAACAACATACTTCAACACGCTGTAAAGAATAGTATGGGGAACGAAGTACGGTCGATTTACAACGATAAATGTTTCGATGTATGAACATTCTACGCATAAAATCAATAGAACTTACTCACAAATTGTGTGTCCGTCGTAGTTTCTGATGATTTCCGCCGTTTTAAGCTTGAAACGGCAGAAATCGCCGGAAACTAAAACGGACAAACAACATGTGAGTAACATTAGCGCTAACATACATGTAGCTAATGTACACTTTGTTTTCCCTTGAAAGTAGTAGCGATAGACTTTCATCACACATCGGCAATTTCGAATATTTTAACAATTAAAACCTTTTTCTCGTACCTTTGTTTTGCGCTGTGAAGTTCGGCGTGCAAATTCTTTAAATTTAATGCAAATTTCTGCTTGGAGGTAAGGATGTAATTTAAAACCTTCAAACAATATGTTGATTGTGATTGCCTTTCTAATTCCGCTCGGTCTACGCGGTATGCGCACTCTGATCGCGTTGCATCATGGTCGCAACACAAAATATGAGTCAGTTGATCGCGAACCTTTGGTGGCAGCGAGGTGGCGTGAATATAATTGGAATGGAATGAGGATTCATCGTCTGTTGCCGTTCCTTCGAAAGTTAAAAAGTGTTTACAGGCCTGCGCGATTCTTGTCGTTCCTCCGTTACGAGGCAACTGGCGAGATTCAGAAAGAATCGAGACTGCAGTCCTGCCTAAGAATAGGGACCCTAAGCAAACCACGACGGCGACGGCAACAAGGACATGGAAAAATAAAAGATCCAATTGGCGAAACAATAGCTCAGCACGTGCGTTTTAAAACTTAGTACATTTCTTAGCCTCCCTATGCAAAACAGCAACGAGAAATCACCACAATTTGCGTCGTCTGCGAACCGAAACCGCAACGGCAAATTATTTTAATTTCCATTTGGAACTCGACGCTTCTTTTATACGTTATGCTGAAGTGTGACGCTGTATGAGACGGTGAATAAATGTAGCCATTTTTTAAATTCTAATAAAAGGCAGCAACTTAGTACATTTCTTAGCCTCCCTATGCAAAACAGCAACGAGAAATCACCACAATTTGCGTCGTCTGCGAACCGAAACCGCAACGGCAAATTATTTTAATTTCCATTTGGAACTCGACGCTTCTTTTATACGTTATGCTGAAGTGTGACGCTGTATGAGACGGTGAATAAATGTAGCCATTTTTTAAATTCTAATAAAAGGCAGCAACTTAGTACATTTCTTAGCCTCCCTATGCAAAACAGCAACGAGAAATCACCACAATTTGCGTCGTCTGCGAACCGAAACCGCAACGGCAAATTATTTTAATTTCCATTTGGAACTCGACGCTTCTTTTATACGTTATGCTGAAGTGTGACGCTGTATGAGACGGTGAATAAATGTAGCCATTTTTAAATTCTAATAAAAGGCAGCAATTTATTTTTAAACGAATTCTTCCTTGGGGTTGCCGTCTCGACTGCTTAAGGTCCCTAATATACACAAACGATAGCAGTTACATTCACAGCCGATGCATATCAAAGTTATTTCATACAAGGGTTAACATTTGCTTCAACTTGCAGGCTCTCCAGACTCTCGCGAATGACCAAGAGTTTAATGGGCGAATGATAAAACAAACATGGCGGCCAGAGTGAAAAGAGAAATCAAAGCCCCAAAGCGATTAATCAATGAAATAAACCCGTTAAAAGCTGTAGCTGATAAGGGCGGAATGCCAAAGCGTCAAAAGGACAATCGCCTTTACGAAATTGCGTTGGAAGAGGTCGACAAAGAAGGCTAGCGAGTAGAAATACAGTTTAACGGATTTAGTGATAAATTCGACGAATGGAGGCCATATGATGGTAAAACCTTTACTATTGTGCGATTGGAACATAAATTTACACCATCCATGGAATCTATAGACGATCGTTTGCATCTCTTCCAAGACCGCATGTGTGGGGAAGTGAAGCGTAAACTTTACTCTGGAAGGAAGTACGATCCAGAAATCAGGATTGAAATTCCTGTGGAAGAGGATGTTTTCGAAGTGAGTATTGCGGCTCGTGCAAGAAGGGAAAGAAACAAGCAAGTCTATCGGATTTGTAATCACTACCTAGACACCTTTCTGGGGGTCAAATGGGATGGATGGATTTTAAACGTAAATGGTGATTATGCTTATGTGACAGAAGGAACTGTGAGATTTTGGTTTACAGAAAGGAACCCTATGATAGAATACAAGCTCATAGGGGGAAAGTATGTGAGGTCAGAAATTGAAGATGACCATCAGCTTGTTTTTACTTCTGTTCGTGGAGATGGAAATAGACATTAGTACATAACAAGGGGGGACTGCTAAATTGAAGAGTTAATCACAATCACACATCTACAGTTATTGTTGTTTGAATATATTTTATTATCAGTTTATAATCATTGTCAGTTAATTATTGAAATTGAGTGAATGAAAACATTTGTTTACACTAAAGTTTAAAGAGTTTTGGAATATCTTAACTACCCATAGATATTACATTTATTTATATTTACAGTAATCAACATGTCAACTAGGAAGCCAAGCCCTCAAAGTTAAAGTCAATAGAGAGAAATTTACAATGTGTATTTCCAGAAAATATCCATACCCCCACCACGGAGGGAATTTCATATAGGACCCCCCCACCCCTTCGGATTTTCCATTTTGGGGTAGCAGTGGTAGCCCCCCCACCCCTCTGGAATTTCCAAAGAATTTTCTACCACCCCCTATACCCCCTGGAAATATAGTTTTTTCTCGTAGCAAACAACAAACAAGAGGGACGTGTGATTTTGTCGCGTGTATATTCGAGAGATGGCGTACACGCGCAAGGTAAACGTCGCTAACTAGCTTAAACTTAATGTTTGCTTTATTTTTAAATACAATACTTATCCTTAAACATTTAACACAATATTTTCAGTACACGAAAGGAGAAAAAAACTGTACAAGTCGCAACAAAACACTTTTGAACTGTTAAGTTTGTACATGTACTGAGAAAATTGCGTGCACTTGAAATGAAAACGTTCGAAATCACATTAAGCAACGTAAATTTGTACAAAATTGTGTCATAAATAAGAGAGCAAAAGAGAAAACCGAGTCAGCAGTAAGTTATTTTGAACTCATCTTTCCAAATTCCAGCCTCTAATGTAAAATTTCTTCACACAAGCATTGATTCTTGTTAACAGCGGGTCGATAATTTCGTCCGATTGTGAATAAACAAACCTTGGCTAGCTACCAGTCCCACACGCATATATACAAAGCCCTGGATCCTAATGTTTCTCAATGTTACTATCAACTGTTTTCGACTACGGTACGACTGTACTTATCATTCATTGTAACATCGTAAGCAAGTAAGCCATAAAGAAATCGTCAAGTCTCCTACATATTATGATGCAACAGAATTAAGCTCAGTGCAGATCAAAATTAAGAGATGGCTAGAGCCAATAAGGGGTAGTGAATGGTAAATTTATGCGAAACTTTGCGAGACGGCGAGACCAGCGTTTTTTTTTTTTTGCGAGACCGAAACTTTTTGAGTGTTTTAATTGCGAGACCAATGTTAAGACCCCAAAACGGCTTTGCAAACAATTCGAGACTGTGAGACGTTTTGAGTCTTTTGAACCGCTCAAAAAACGAGACTGCAGGATCGATCTGTGAGATTTAACTTAAATTTTAAAAAAACAGCATCAGACAGTTATTTGTAAATTTTACGAACGCGAAACGTGTTATGACCGAGGAAAATCCCTAGGTAACCACTCCTGTTGGTTGTTATCTTTGGAGACTGGTAACGAGTAATGGCGGCTCCGTTCGAAAAACAAAGTGATTCTCTTCTTTATTTGATGTTATTTATGTTCCAAAGCGCTATAAGGATAAAAGAAAACTTTCTTTGGCTGCAGAACTGTTAGAAGCATCGTAATTTAACAACTTAAACTTCAGAACGTCCTACTAAAGTAGGCAAGTGGCGCCAATTGACATACGAAGAAAGTCGATCGACTTCCTACCCTCTGGATGAAAATTTCGCCTCTTACCCCCATCCCCTCTGGAATTTCCTGGGACTTTGACCCCCCCACCCCTCTAGAATTTCCAATTCCCTCCGTGGTGGGGGTATGGATATTTTCTGGAACCACACAATGTACATCTGTGTCCACCTTCCATCAACTTTAATAGGGTGTGCACAACAAACTGCAGTCTGGCATTTCTTACAGTTAGCAGAGCATGTCTTTATGGTATGACCAAGACCTTCACAATAGGCCATTTTACAGTTGTGTACTTAGTTGCCAAGCCTTTGATTTGGAGTGTGGCTGAAGGTGACCGTGTTGTGTTAGAGACCAGAATCTAGTTAGCATGATAACAAATTAATTTGCATTTCAAAAGCAGCAAGGTTTGTATCATAACAAGGTCACCCTTAGCCTCACTCCTGTTCAAAGGCTTGGCAACCAAGCAGACAACTGTAAAATGGACTATTCCTACACTTGTAACTTTTCTTTATTCTCTCCATGCCAGCTGCTTCTAAGAGCTGTATTCTATTTTTCTTCAAGAGAATCTGTTTTAGAGCAGAAATTCCCCTATGATTTGAGGATCTAAAATAGTGTTTGGTTGCAGTATCATTATATTTTTCCTCTCCTTGTTTTGTAAAATAGGATATGTTTAAATAGAGTTTTAAGAATTCAGGCAATGAGCATATAGTGCATGCATGTATGGGGTAACATCTTTGGCTTGATACAAGCATAGAAACTTATCAAACCATGATTATTTGTTAACTGAGTGATAGCATCATCAGTTGTAAACTCAAGCTTCAGGTCTCCAATAATTTCCATAAAACTGGCCCATAGTTTCTCCATTTCTTTGGTGTGCTTGAAGTTGGGAAGGAGTGATTGGAAATTTATGCTTTGCATAACAAGCAGTTTTTCTGATCCAGTAAGGTCTCTATATTCTAATTTCTTGGAGTCAATAGTCTTTGTTTACTCTCCAGTCAAAGGAAATACCAATGTCCTTCAGAAACTTTTCATATCCAGCCATATGTTTATATTTCTCCCTTGTAAATCCACCAGGAAAAGTTTTCACTTCATCTATAGCATCTTCCTTACAAAGTTGCTGGATAAGAAGCTCAATCAAGTTGTCAGATATCCTCAAAAATAAGTGAAGTTTGTCAATCATGACATGATCAATTGGAATGAAAGAAAATAAAGGCTCTGATTTACAATTAAACTTCTTAGATTTTGCATTGCTGGTTATTTCTTCACATGATCTTACACCAAGGGACCTGTCTGTGAGGGACCACTTCTTGCTGCATCAAACCTTTCACTCCTGGGACACTTGCACCAAATACAGGAGTAATCCTGATTTGCTGCACCCAAACCACACACATAAGCTAAGAACTTCCAATCCCCTCCCAAAAAGTATTCAATGTCATATTTATAATCACCCACACATTTCCTTTAAATTCAGCATTTCATCTTTAAGATCTGCAATGCTTGCCTTTAAATTATCATAGCTTACAGTAGTTTTGATTGTGGCAAGAATATAGTTGCCTTTTTCACTCACTGCGATATTTCTTTCATTTAATATTATGTAAGTTACATTAACAATTTTGAGCCTTTTGCCAATGTTCATCCCATCCCCACTAATTTTAACTTTGATTTTTGTGTTCATGTTAAAAACTCCTTTCCCCTGAAGCCTGATTAATTGTTCCTCTAAACATTCTTTAAAACCCAACTGGACTCCCTTGGCTTGGCCAGGTGTGGGTTGGAGATCCCATTTTGCATTAAAGTCCTTTAATTTCTTCTCTGTTTTATAATTGTTTGGCATCTGTTTGGTTTTCGTGGCCAACTCATGCCAAGCCTCATTTGAAATGTTAAATCTATCTTTAATATAGATCCACATATTAATGTCACCCAAATTTTCATCTGTCAGCTCCGTTGAGTCGTTGTCCTTTAGTGGAAGCTCGTTTTGATCAATCAAGGAAATGTCTCGTACTGTTGAGTTTCGCCATTGAAAACTTCTACTTTTGTGGCAATAAAATCATTCAATCCAAGGAAGGATAGTGTTGCCTGACAGTTTTCCTTCATCTGTTGTCGAAGACGTGACTGATGCGGTTTCGTATAATCGGTAAATTTTTTCTTTTTGTCCGGCCCTCTCTTTCCATCTCTCTATAGTTTTGCAATTTTACGCGCTAGAATCTTAAATTTCTTTTTGTAGTTTTTATCCTTCTTTTCTGTCTTCTTAAGTACCTGTTCGAGTTTCTCTTCTACCTTTAGCCTTTTCGCCTGTTCATTTGCGAGGGATGCTTCCAGCTTTCTCTTTTGTCCACGCAAACCCCTGTTCTTCTGGTGTAGCTGACATGTTTCAATTTCATCATAAAATACCGTGAATGAGTACGTTTCTTTCTGCCATTTTTCTTTAAGCTTCTTAACATGGCGACTGCCTTTTTGACCAGCTTTCTTCAATGCCGAGAAAAGAAGCGAAATTTTCTTCTTGAAGACATTAATAATACGACTGTTGATGATTACACCTCTTAGCGCAGACTCTTCGAAAATTCTTTTTATTCTTGCCGACGAAGCGGGCTCGGTACTTAAGTCGTAAATTTTCCCTTCTAGTTCCTTACAGACTGAACAGATGAGGTAGCTACAAAACAAGACGAAAAGGTTCTTTAACACAATGAATCTTCGAATAAATTAACTAAGCTTGAATGGATACTTACTTGTTTATTTCGTACGTAAATGAAGGAACATCTCCGGGTTCTGCTCGCTCGAATTCCTCTTCTATCGCACTCGCGCTGTTTACAAAGGTCAGCAGCAGAAATAGAACTAAAGCGTTGACTTCAAGGCCCAA